TTTCGGCAGACACAACATCTTTGTTCGTATGTGGTGCTGAGGATTGAACCCTAACCGCACGCATGCCAGGCAAGAGCGCTACCGCTTGAGCCACATCCCCAGCCCCTCCATGCTGTTCTTTAATTCCTGCTTCAGCCTTCCAGGTAGCTAGGATTATAGGAGTGTGCCACCTATCTGGCTTAAATCTATTTTTACCCCCTTTTTTTTGCAGTGCTGGCATCAAATCCATGGCCTAAGATACTAAGATACACAGATACTAAGCAAGTGCTTTACCACTGCGCCACAACCACCCACCCCTGCGAATGAATCCTTTCTAACTACAAAATAACCTCTATAAGAGCCTGTGTGTTGGTGGACCCCTATAATCCCAGCAGCTTGGAAGGCAGAGACAGGAGGCTCATGACTTCAAAGCCAGCCTCAACAAAAAGCAAGGCACTAAGTAACTCATTAAGACCCTGTCTCTGGGGTCTGGGGATGTGGCTCAAGAGGTAGCGCACTCGCCTGGCATGCACGGGGCCTGGGTTCAATCCTCAGCACCACATAAAAATAAAATAAAGATGTTGTGTCCACCGAAAACTAAAAAATAAATATTAAAAAAATTCTCTCTCTCTCTCTCTCTAAGACCCTGTCTCTGAATGAAAATACAAAATAGAAATGGGGATGTGGCTCAGTGGTCAAGTGCCCCTAAGTTCAATCTCCATACCCCCTGCCAAAAAAATAAAAAAGGATTTTTTGTTTTTGGGACAGTTTCATTATGCTGCTTAGGTTGGTCTCCAACTTGTAGTTTAAGTGATCTTCCTGCCTCAGTCTCTGGAGTAACTGGAACTACAGTCATGCAACACTGCATCTGGCTAAGCGGCCAGATTTTCACTTAATAAACTTCTGGTTATATCTGGACCTCATTTAATAGTCTTTGGAAATTACTTAAGTCCTAACATTTTACTGATAAACTAATTTAGAAGGCATCTAAAGCTTAAGTACAATTAAATTGGCAAGATTAGAGTACGTGCTCTACCAAATACTGGGTAATTTATTATAGTATGCTTTCAGGACGGTTCAGATGAATTCATAGATTCCTTGTGGTATGAATTAAAAGATGTATAATGTATATTTTAACACTGTGAGGATGGAAATAAGAGAATAACTTCCACCCTTTCCCATGTAAGATATATCCCGGTGTAACAATGGCAGACTCTCAGGCTAGAGAGGTTTTGTTGTTGTTATTCTGAAGATTAAACAGAGGGATGCTCTACCACTGAGCTACATCCCCTGACCTCCTTATTTGTTACTTTAAGACAGGGTATTGCTAAATTGCTGAGGCTAGCCTTGAACTTGCAATTTTCCTCCTTGTTGGGATTGCAGACATGTGCCACTGCATGTGGCTTGGAGAGTTAAGGTGTGCCTTGACAAACAAGTAAGGAATATCACAAGTAATTTGTATTGATTAACATTAAATTTATTCTATTCAAACTTGTGAATAATTTATTTAGTAAATTAAGAATTGAAGTTTCCTATAAGAATACTATTACTTACCCTTCTCATAAACCTTCTTTCTTTCTTTTTTTTTTTGGGTACTGGGGATTGAACCCAGGAGTGCTTTACCACCGAGCTACATTCACAGTCCTTCTTGTTCATTATTTTTTATTTTCAGACAGGGTCTTGCTAAGTTGCTGAGACTGGTCTCAAACTTGTGATCCTCCTGCCTCAGAGTCCCAACCTGCTGGGATTATAGGCATGGGCCACCATCCCAGGCTCTCATAAAGCTTTCTTATGGAAGAGAAAGGAGTTTTTAGGTTCCAACAGACAGAACCCTGGGTATACTGTCAGGATTAGGAAGAATGTGAACATTACCTATGTGCATCATAGGAAAAACAGGCTTATAAGAACTGGTTTGGAAAACTGACTTAACAGGATACATCATTTCTCCAGGCTGGGGATATATCAAAAACAGTTGGCAGAGTGTTTGCCTTGCATGCACAAAGCCCTGGGTTTGATCCCCAACACCAAAACAAAACAAAACAAAACAAAACAAAAAAACCCACAGAATACAGCATTTCTTATGGCTGATAAGAGAAGATAAAATTAATACCAGGCTCTGAGTTTAGTATATAACTAATTTTGGAGGGCTTACTCTGACCTAGTTAATGTGTTAAATTTTTACAGGGACATACAATCATTATGTGTCAACTAATAACAAAAAAGTAACAACAAAAAAAGGTGATGAGAGACAAGAAATGTACAATTGACTAGATAAAAATGAGTTATTAGGATAATTTTTTCTACTAGCAAAAAACAAAAACAAAAACAAAAAAAAACACCAAGGTCCCAGCTAGGGCCATAGCACACATGGCCTGCAATCCCAGCAACTTGGGAGGCTGAGGCAGGAGAATAACAAGTTCAAAGCCAGCCTCAGCAATATGGCAACTCCCTAAGCAACTTAGCTACACCCTACCTCAAAATAAAAAATAAACAAGCCTGGGGATGTGATTCAGTGGTTAAACTCCCCTGTGTTCAATCCCCTGTACCAACTCTCCAAAAAAAAACATTCCATCTCAATATTCTAATCTTGAAAATTATCAAAAAAAAAAGGGAGGTAAAGCTGGGCATATGAGTGGCAAAATCCCCCTGGGTTTAATCCCCAGTACCAAAACATAAAAAGGCTGGGCTTGGGTTGTGGCTCAGTGGTAGAGCACTTGCCTATAACGTGTGAGGCACTGGGTTGGATCCTCAGCACCACATAAAAAAGAATAAAGTTACAGAAAAATGTATTTTAAAAAATTAATAGTGGGGTTGGGGTTGTGGCTCAGAGGTAGAGCACTGTCTAGCATGTGTGAGGCCCTGGATTACATCCTCAGCACCACATAAAAATAAATAAAGTAAAGGTATTATGTTCAACTACTTCTAAAAAAAAAAAAAAAACTAATAGCAAAAAATAAAATAAAAAGGCATCATAGCAATTTGTGGTAGAAGAAAACTTTGTTGAATACATTCATTCTGTGATTGTTCAAGGTATTAAGAGAAAAAAAAGACAAAAATAGAAGCTACTCTGTAGATTTGGCATTTGGGAAAATTATAGATCCAGTTTTGCCACTAAATATAGAAATTCAGGATCTGTGACTTCTCTGGGTCTGTTTTTTCATCTGTAAAGTAGGTAGAGGTGAACTAGATAAACCCCAAATTTCCCTTAGATTCTAAAATGCTATAATGTTTTAAAATTTTTGAAATGTTTATTCAAAGCATTCCTTGGACAGAGATGTTCCATTCTAAATCCTGGGACATCTCAAGATCCAGATGTTTAAGAAGTTTCTAAGGGAAGGTATCCTTTCGATTTTCATCCCTATGTCCCATACTGAATCTCTACATACACAGAAGGTGGGGACTTATAGTCCAGACTGACAATGGCTACTGATAGAAATGAGAAAGATATACTTTATTATTGCTGTTTGTATCAAATCTAAAAGCTTAGACTAGAAAGCAAGGCCTTTTATTAAATAACACTCCTTACCTCATCTGTCCCTATCCAATAAAGCCCTTATTTTTCAGCTGAGTTGGTCACATCCATTTTCCCCTTCCTGTTTCTGCTCTTGCTGGTCCCTCCATCTGGAAGGGCAGGGAGGGAAGAATAACACATGTCCATTATTTCCTTTAAGACTAAGCCCTGTCTTTATATTTTATCAGCATGAATACAAGGAATTTCTAGAAGTCTACACTATCATACAGTTATTTACATTCCCTTGCTTATACATAGATATTCCTCTTTTCTCCATTATTAGACTTTAAACACATTGTATTGAGTGTACACTGAATAAATGCTTATCTATTATCTAGTTTATTTATTTATTGGTACTGGGGATTTAACCAAGGGGTGCTTAACCTCTGAGCTACATCCCAACCCTTTCTGTTTTTTAGTTTGAGATCTCACTAAATTGCTAAGGCTGGCCTTGAATTTGTGATCCTCCTGCCTCAGCTGAGTTGCTGAGATTATAGGCATGTGTCATCAAACCCAGCTCTAATTATCTAGTCTATAAGTGGAACAGCATCCCAGAAAGCAAAAGAATTAATGGTTGGGCTATGTCAACTCCCTAATTCATCCTCTCCATTTTCTTTATTGCCTGCAAACCCCTATCTTCAAGCCTAAGGTAAGGGCCAATCCTGGACATGAAAAGACAACACAGTTTGAACTTTTGGTTTCGTATTTTTTTCAGTTCATTTCCATAAAAACATAATATAAAAAGCAATGCCACCATCTTCCCCTTGTGGGGTGATCCATCAAGCTGGTCTGGGCTGCTCCAGTGGTTCATAGCTCATCATGAGATATGTGAAGGGCATGGTCACATAGATCTGCAAATAGCACATAACAATTTAAAGAAAAATGCCACTATTATACTGATATGTACCACTATCAAGAAAATACCAAAGCCAAACAGACACATATACCAACCACCACTCTTCAAAATATATACTTATAAATAACAAAATACTGGGCTGGGAATATAGCTCTGTGGTAAAGTGCTTGCCTAATATCTCTAGGCCCTGGGCTCAATCCCACTACACACACACACAAAAAAAAAAAAAAAAAAGAAAAGAAAAAGAAAAAAGAAAAAAAAAATCCCCACTATTCCCTCACTTATATCTCAAATCAGAGAACTATAAATTCTGAAAGCTGACAGAAAGAGAATGGAGAGGAAAACAACTCAGGTCCTTAGGCCAAGGGAAACGGAAGCCAATTCTGAAGGTTTAATCAAAGGATTTTGTGGGAGAGGGGATGGGAATGCACAAGGCTATATAATTAGGAGATTAAATAGGATTAGCTTACCTGTTCGCTTACTGCAAAGTTTGTCTTTAACATTGTCAGCCTCTCGGGAAAAGAATTCAATAAGTTCATCCTCATATTCCTCCACAATGCTCTCACACTGCCAAAATCAAGGGAGAAATGAATGACAGAACAGCAAGAAGAGGCCTCTTGCTCCCACCTCTAGAGAAGAGGATAAAGATACAGACCCAAATTTCAAGGTGTGCTGTCCAACAACCCCCTAATTTCCAAGAACCAACTACCCACAGTAATAGCTCACCGCAAACTTGAGTGTGCCACTGATATCTGAATCAATTCGGATGCCTTGTAGGTCCAGTTCACTGGATTCTCCATTCCGGCCCACAACACGAACGTAGTTCTTGCGGTGGGTGGATGGATCAATCTGTTCCCCATATTCCTTCATGCGGTCACATACCTCCTCTAGCAGCTCTGTGAGGTGGGCCTCTGAGCGGGCATAAGGTACCTAGAAATGTCCTCAGCATTGGGTCACTCAGTCTACCTCATAAACTAGTAATTTATTTTTAATTTTTTAAAAATACTTTTATTTCACTTATTTATTTTTATGCAGTGCTGAAGATCGAACCCAGGGTCTCGCACATACAAGGCGAGCATTCTACCATTGAGCCACACCCCTAGCCCATAAACTAGTAATTTATGTCCTTACTTTTCCTTCCAAATCTAGCTCAACCAACCTGTTCTAAAACACTTTCTCTAATTAAAAATAGTATGATTGGGGCTGGGGTTGTGGCTCAGCGGTAGAGCACTCGCCTAGAATGTGGGAGGCCTTGGGTTCAATCCTCAGCACCACATAAAAAATAAATAAATAAAATAAAGATTATTTAAAAAGCATGTTTTACTTGTATAGTTTCAACTGCCAAATATAATGTTCTTGTTTTGCCTGATTACACATTGGCTCCAAATCAAAAGTAGATTAACTTTTTTAGGCTTTGACTGGGGATTGAACCCAGGGGTGTTTTACCACTAAGCCACATCCCAAGCCCTTTTTTATTTTTAATTTTGAGACAGGGTCTCACTAAGTTGCTTAGAGTTCCACTAAATTATTGAGATTGACCTTGAATTAGTGATCCTCCTGCTTCAGCCTCCCAAGTTGCTGGGATTACAAGTATGTACCACCACTCTTGCTCTCTTTGATTAACAAACTGTGTTATTTCCCTTTAATTCTCTTAACTCTTGTGGATGTAAGTAATATATATTTGTTCTTTTTGGTATTAAAATGAGATTAATTCCTGCCCTCAATAAAAGCATTAAAGTGACAATGTAGAAAACATCATAACATTAACATTTTTGTATATACTACTCACTAGGTAGAGCTTTATGTGTTTGTATTATGTTTCCACTAAAAGAAATTTCCTAATTACAAGGATAAGACCTTTTATTCTTTTTTGAATGAATGTTTATATGTACTCCATAGTGAAGCGTAAGTCCTATGGATTAAGGAAGTAGAGAAGGGAGCTGTTCAAATTTCCCTGTCTGCTAATAACTTCTGTGGCAGAAATAAAATATTAAAGTTTGCGAGTCAGAAAGCAAGTGCACAGGGTAATTTAAGCATCCAGCCTCTTCCAAATGAGACGGAGCCTAATCTTTTAGATAACCCTTAGGTTCAGTTTTCTTCACTTCAATTAAACCAAGGTTCTTCTTGAGTTCTCATTCATAGCCAGACTGAGCTACTTTATTTGGGGGAACAGTAACAGTTACCTCCACCACTGACTGGCTGCCATCTGGATTAATCCGGAAAGATCCCATCTGAATGGTCTTCTTGGGATCCACCTGAGCAATTTCCCACTCTAGTTCATCCACCAGAGCCCTGCAAGCTGGTGCAAGGAGAGAGAATTGAGGAATGGAGGGGAAGGCGCAGAGGTAGAAGGAGAATTGATCAACCCAAGGATTTCCATTCATCCTTCTCCCATGTCTTGTATCTGTCTAATGCCTCTCAAGAATCTGCTTCCTCCCATTTCTCTTTGTGCCTTTACCTCCACAGTGTAGATCCTGGCTCCTTCGAGCTGAAGCAGTTCCCAGCAGGGCTCCCAGAAGCAGTGCCAGCCAACCCCAGCCTTTCATCTTTAGCATAATGGGGTCGCTCCACCTAGGTTTGTATGGGAAAAAATATAGGAATGAGAGCCAACTCCATTTTTCCCTGATGCCCCATCCCCACCCTCTCCTTCCCATCCAAAGGCCTTGAAAGGCCTCAGTGTGACTCTGATTCTACTTTCTAGGAAATGGCCGAGACTCATAAGGGTTCCTCTGTGCCAGTGCTTGAGGGGCCACATTCCTCCAGGAGGTGGGTGAGCGCCAGCTTAGTACTTGGAATTCAGTTCCAGAAACTATGTCGACAGGTGAGGCCTTGGATGTTGGTACTTTAACACAGGATGCTGAAGGCTCATAAGGCTGTGTGGCAGCCACTGGACAGAGGTTGGCACAAACTCAGAGGGTGCCAGCCATCAAAGAGCCTCATTCAGGCCAGGAAGCTGGTGAGACTTCTCAATAACTAGGGCCTATTTGGGTCCAGCACCGAAGAATCCTGCATCTCCACCTCCAACCTATAAGTTATTGCTGGCTACCCGTGCAGACCAGTCCCCTTTCTATGGACTCCGCCATTGCTTTCGCTCAGGTCTATTCCCAACCCTTAGCGCCCCGCGCCTGGGCTGCCCGCGTCAGTCCCACCTCGGCTCCCAGGGCCGCCGCCGTGGCCCAGGCGCTGGAAGACGGCTGGACTCTCACTTTGGCCTCGGTGGCTCCCAACCCTAGCACCTGGCTGCAGGAGAGAGGGGCTGTCCAGGTTTCTCCAGACCCCTTCTGCGCTTTCCACGCTAGGGGTACCCTAGGCAGCCGCCTAATCCAGGTTCCCGCACCTAAATAGGCACCCAACTGGTTCAGAGGCACAGCTGTGCAAGCCCCCACCAGGGAATGACCCCAAGCCCGCCCCTCTAAACTCTCGCGCGAACAGGCAGCTTATGAGTGGCTCTGAGGCAGCGAGGACCCCATCGATCGCAGAAGGACCCAGACTTGCGTGGCGAACAACTCCACGTGACCTCAGAAGTCACCCGAACCCGAGTAGCTTAAAGCGAGAACAGAAGCCCCGCGTGGTGTACAGGGACAGAAAGGCACGCGCCTTATCAGTCCATGTAGGCAAGGACATTCAAAAAGGTATGTTGATAGCCAGCAAGAAGCCGGAGTTTCAAGTATAGAGGAAACTACAATTCCCAGGAAGCACCGCAGCACCAGACATACTTTTTATCAGTAGCTACAAGTCTTAAAAAAGAAACTGGGACTTGTAGTTTGTCAGCTTACAAAATTAACTGGGAAAAGGTACTGTAAATCTTCAAACAATCCGACTTTAGGCAGCTACAGCAAAGACTTAGCATTTTTTTTTTTTTTTTTTTAGGAAACATATACTCCTAGATCCAGAACTTTACCTTCATTTCTAGGTAGGGATCTGAACACTAGTTTTCCATGGTTATATAAAGCCAAAATAAAGAAGAGGAAGAAAACCCCACACTAGAAGTTCTATATAATATAATGAGAAGACAGACAATAATTTTTGTTTTTATTTTATAAAACATGCGGTTTAAAACAATTTTTTAAAAAAATTAAAACAAAACTTGAGACAGGAAAATGGATGGAAGACAGATGCTTCTCAGTTGTCATCAGGTCAACCTTTCTCCGGGACCCAAAGTGCCTTTTGGCAATGGTGCTGGCAATACTGGTTTGCTAGGGCCAAGACTACATGCTGGTTCCTCCAGGCATCCCTCAAGTTTGAGCTAAGTCTGGAGCTCCTGTTGTAGCCTGTCACTATCCAGGACTTCAGTTCCTAGCCGGCTAGGAACTAAAAGATTTGGTTCCAGGTGCTTTTCTGCCTGGATATTAATCATTCATGATAATACCAGTTACTTTCCATCTGGGTCAGTCCTAGATTCCTTTTTCTGACCCACTGTTTTGCAAAGGATGAAGAAGGAATCTGGCTCCCAAAACCTTTGCAACAACTTTGTTACATTCCAGTTCTGTTAGTAGCACCATCTGAGGACCCTGAGCAGGTCCAATTCTGGAAGTGGGCAGGGTAAAGCCAACTTAGGAAGCCATCCTCAAGTTCTAGGGTCATAGAACACTGAAGGAAGAAGGGAGGTCAAAGTGCCAGCACTGAGGAAAAGACAGCTGCATCTGTTAAGAGACAAAACCAAGAGTAACACTCTGAAGGTCAACTGGGGAAAACACCTGGAAAACTACTATCTTTCCCCTCACCCCCAGTACTAGGGACTGAACCCAGGAGTGCTTTACACCCCTGGGTGAGCTAATTCCCCAGCCATTTTTTCCCCCAGTCCTGTCATATAAATATTTTTAGTTGCCTGTGGACCTTTTTTTAAAAATGTTTTATTTTTTAGGTGTAATTGGACACAATACCTTTATTTATATTTTATTTATTTTTATGTGGTGCTGAGGATCAAACCCAAGGCTTTGCACATGCTAGGTGAGCGCTCTATGCTGAACTACAACCCCAGCCCCTGGACCTTTTTTTTTTAAATACCCTTTTTAGTTGTAGATGGACATTCCCTCCCTCCCTTCCTTCCTTCCTTCCTTCTCTCTCTCTTTCTCTCTTTCTTTCTTTCGTGCTGAGGATTGAACCCAGTGCCTCACACATGCCAGACAAGTGTGCTACCACTGAGCCACAACCCCAGCCCCTGGACCTTTATTTTATTTATTTATATACAGTGCTGAGAATCAGACTCAGTGCTAGGTGAATATTCTACCAGGACATTCTACCACGGAGCTACAACCCTAGCCCTCCAGTCCTGTTTATTTTTGAGAGACAGTCCCACCAACTCATTGAGGATGGCCTCTAATTTGTGATCCTCCTGTCTCATCCCCCTGAGGAGCTGGGATTACAGGTGCACACCATCAAACACTAGAATACTTTTTATGAAGAAAAAATGCAAGACAAAAGAGGACAAGGATGCTCCCCAAACATTTTAGAATTGGGCAAGAGGAGATTCTGGACCAATAGAGAGTTTCAATAATATATTATGCTTCAGTGACTATTAAAAGGATTAAGTGCTTTTGTAAACTGTATTTCACAAATATAAGGCAGGGATGGTATTGTTATTACTGTGGTATGTATAAATCTCCATGCAATCAAAACCTACCCAATCCAGTTTCCCTTGTCCCATCCCAGGCCTTACTCTTGGGACTCGTCTGGCTCTCGGGCTCAGGCACTTTCCAGTCCATCTTCCGGCCCTTTTCATAAAGACCCTTGAGTACCTTGTGGAAGGATTCAGGCTCAGTGCCATTCTTGCTTAGTTCCAGATACTTTCGGTAGAGCTGAAGGGCTGTGCGGGCATCCTCAATACTGTCATGGGTCTCCCCTTGAATCTTTAGGTCTGGAGAAATGAGAGGTGGAATAGTTTGGAAGCCAGCAAAGGGAGGCAGGAACAT